GTGGTCACTGTGTAGGTTCTAATTTAAGCGGGCTTAGTTTATGTTTCTGTAATCTTGGTTTTCTTTTTCTGATGTTTATATATGTATATAAGTTACATTAGGTTCGTAATATTTTTTATTTTTGAAATAATGCCGTTTGTTCATTAATAAAAGACTAAAATGATTACAAAGCTGAAAAACAGACAATCTGAAAAATTAGGTTCGTAATATTAAATGCATTATTCTTAGAGTATATATCTATCTATCTATATATATATATATATATATATTGCTAAATATTGTGCAAATGATTTTTTATGTACTTCATTGTATATATATATGTTTGATTTATGCGTAGTTAACTCTTTTGATGTGTTTTTTTAATATATTAATTTGTAAGTATTATATATATATATATATATATATATATATTATTTCCCTTTTAATTTAATATTTATTTGTTTATTAAATTTACCCATTATCAAATTTTTTAAATATTATTACGTTTTCAAAATTAGGAAAAATTATTCATAAGTTTTTATTTTTAAATATGGAATAAAAATAAATCGAGGGGAATTTTTCTTGCCTTAAATGTTAGACAAGTCGAATTTCCTCGATTTTAGTCACATTTCATATTAAATATCCAACTTTTTTTTATTATATAGTTATTCGATGAAAACCTAGTTGTCCTAGACATTTGGCAAGTCGAAATCTTTCGAATTTATTTTATTTTCCACTTAAAAACATTTAATATTAGTATTTATTTTTGTGTATTTTTAAAATAAAATTGTGACTATTTGAGGAGAATCTTTCTTACTCTAGATGTTGAGTAAGTTGGATTCTTTCGAATTAGTCAAATTTTGTTTTCTTATGTATAGTTTTTTTTATCATGATTGTCTTGAGTTTAGAGATAGAAAATTTAATACTCAACCTTAGGATTAAGGAATATTAGGATCTAGAACTTTAGACCGTCTAGCGAACATCTTATGTTTCTGCCTATAATTCTTGTATTTAGATTAAAAAGTATGATACATGTTTGAACATCTTTATCACATTTTTTAAACAATGTATTGTCTTGAGTTAGATGGATTCTCGATATTCTTCTAGACGTTGGAGGGTGTTGAGGTTATTTAACAAAATAATTTATCTTTGATTTTTTTAACTATGCACCATGAACTCTTCGGACTTTGAGAAATATTCTTAAATTCTTTTAGATGTTAGAGAATTAGGGGGCATTTTAAAGGGTTGTAATTCTGATTTTTAAGCATGATTCATAAAAATCGAGATGTTTTCTTGAGTGAGGTAAAGTTTTCGATATTCTCCTAGACGTTGGGGAATGCTCGAAATTGTCCATAAAAGACTTCGCTTTCAAAATTTTAATATAGATTAACATATGAATTTTTAGAATATTCAAGTTTAATTTTGGTTCTCTTAGCCGTTAGAGAATTTGAGAATATGCTTGAGAATTTAAAATTTTTGATTAATCTAAAATACTTGATTGCATTCATGAATCGAAACAAAATATTTGTGATCAAGTAAGCATCGTTTTTATGGGCGTTATGAGGGTTATAATCCTTCCTCACACGTATCGTGCCCCAAACTTAATTTTGGTTTTTGTAAACCCAGTGGCGTATCTAGGCCTACCTGGGCCATGGCCCACCTTATGTCTAAAAAGGGTAAATTATATATTTAGTCATCCACTTATTATTTAGTTTCTATTTTGGTCATCCAACTATTATTTATTTTCAATCATACTTAATGTTACATTTTAGTTCTGTTTTGGTCACTAGTATTTAAAAAATTAATGGTGATATTGAAGTGCCATTATAAGATAATGCAATGTCAGGATTGAAAAATAATTTTAAAAAAATATCATATTAGCATCAATTTTAAATTTTTAACGACATGTGACCAAAACAAAACAAAAACATAACATTAGGTATGATTTTGAAAAAAAATAATAATTGAGTGATCAAAACATAAATTATGTAATAGATGGGTGACCAAATAAATAGTTTACCCTAAATAAAAATACATATGAGTTAGGTTAAGAAAATTATATTGATCCAATTAAAATATTTTTCTATATTTAATCCATATAATATTTTTAAATTAAAGATATATATGAATTATATTAGATAATTTTTTATTATATTTATCTTGACCTAACCTATAATTTTTTTTGGATTCCCACTGCGAAAATCTAAATATTTTTAATGATCCAATCATACCTAAACTAATAGGTGACAACTCTCATTCTTTTTTTTTTTAAATATGTAACTGTAATTTTTATTTTTATGGGTAAAGATTGGTGCCTACAATACAATATGTTGATGCTTTTGTGAATGGGGCAGCTGATGCTAGTTTTAATGGTAACTTTAATGTTATGAATATGACATATGTTTTGATCTTCTTTCTTTTGTCTTTACTTGGTATTTAGGTATTTTTAAGGTTGAAATCTTAAGAAAAATATTCAAAATTAAACTTAAAATCTAATATCAATTAATATTAAAAATGATATCATTATCATCGTATCACAAATTTAATTAATCTAAATTATAATTATTTAAATATGTATTATTTGCGACTTTTATAATTGTATTTGTAAACTTTGAAACTACCTTTAATTCAAGTGTTTAGAGAAACTTTGTCCATTTTATTTACTCTTCCTCTTCGAATACCAAAGTAAATATTTTAAAATAAAATTGATAAATAAATTCTGCAAGGAGCATTTGGAGAAGTTACTCTTTAAATCAAACCGTTTAAATTAAAATAGGGTAACCTACATATTTAGTCATGTAACTATCACTTTGATTCGTTTTGGTCATTCAACTATTATTTTTTTCATAATCATAGTTACAATTATGTTTTGGTCCCGTTGTTACCATAAGGTAATACCATGCCATCATTAAAAATAAATAAAAACATTGCCACAACGTCATTTTGTTTATTTTTTAACAACGAATGACCAAAACAAAATAAAAACGTAACGTTAAGTACGATTTTGAAAAAAGTAATTGGATGACTAAAACGAAACCAAATTGATAGTTATTTGACTAAATACATAGTTTACCCATTAAAAAATTATTTTATCTAGGGATGGACACGAGACCTCAACATGACGAGTTCCGACCCGATACGACCCTATTGGTTGGGTTTTTTTAAACAATTTGGGTTCAAGTCAAGTCGGATTTTTTAAAAGATGTGTATGGGTCGGGTCAATATAGATTTTATGGTGAAAAATACTCGACCAGACTAGAAAAATAATATAATTATACGTTATATATTTAGAGATATTTACAATAATACTCCTCTCTAAATTAAAATTTTCAATTAGATCCCTATTTTATTGAATAAAATTAATATTTTTATAATTATATTTGTTTTGAGTCTGATCGGGTCAATTTCTGATTTTATCTCAAAAGACAAATTAATTTTTGAGTCGGATAAAATCATCTTAAATTCGAATCGAATCAAATTTCAAGTGAAGAGTATATATTTTCAAATCTAATTGAACTAATTGAAAATCCCTCAGAATATCAATATATGGTGGTGTTTGTTTTCACTGTGCAAGCTCTTCAAACCACTTATGTCTGCGTCACGCAGACCACGCGCAGACATTAGGCTTCGCAGACTGTTTGTTTTTTAGAAGACAGAAGCTCTTCAAACGTCTGCGCGAGCTCTTCTTGGTGCAGACTTAATTTTATGTATTCAAAGGTCTTCAAACCTCTTCAAGAACAATTATAAAATAAAGTTATTTATTAAAATAATTTTAAATAATTTAATAAGGTTATTTATTTTAAAATAATTTATTATAAAATAATTTATTTTAAAATAATTTATTATAAAATAATTTATTATAAAATAATTTATTTTAAAATAATTTATTATAAAATAATTTATTTTAAAATAAATTATTATAAAATATGGAATGATTTATTTTAAAATAATTTATTTTAAATAATTTATTAGTATTGATTGATTTATTTAAAATATGGATGATTTATTATTGGTTGTATGGATTGATTTATTTAAATAATTTATTAGTATGGATTGATTTACTTTAAAATATGGATTGATTTATTTTAAATAATTTATTAGTATGAATTGATTTATTTTAAAATATGGATTGATTTATTTAAATAATTATTAGTATGGATTGATTTATTTTAAATAATTTATAGTATGAATTGATTTATTTTAAATAATTTATTGTATGGATTGATTTATTTTAAAATGATTGATTTATTATTGTAGTAGTATGAATTGATTTATTTTAAATAATTATTAGTATGGATTGATTTATTTTAAAATATGGATTGATTTATTTTAAATAATTTATTAGTATGGATTGATTTATTTTAAATATGGATTGATTTATTTAAATAATTTATTAGTATAGATTGATTTATTTTAAATAATTTATTTGTATGGATCGATTTATTTTAAAATATGGATTGATTTAATTTAAATAATTTATTAGTATAGATTGATTTATTTTAAATAATTTATTTGTATGGATTGATTTATTTTAAAATATAGATTGATTTATTATTGTAGTTTATAATTGATTTATTTAAATAATTTATTAGTATGTATTGATTTATTTTAAAATATGGATTGATTTATTTTAAATAATTTATTATTTTAGTTGTATGGATTATTTTAATTTCAGTATTGTAAAACTAAAATTATTTAAATCTTAGTATCGCAAAACTCTTTTAAGTTTAAAAAATCAGTTTATTTATATTTCAGTTCATTTTAGCAGTCTGCAGAAGTTAAAAAACAAACAGTCTTCTTCTTGCAGACTGCAGACTTTTGGTCCACCTCTTCTGCTGCAGATGCCTGCAAATATGGTCCGCAGACTGCAGACCTTTTACCTCTACAAAAACAAACACCACCTAAAAGTCTATACATTCTCATTCTTTATTAATTTTATTTTTAAAAACCATTTTTAAAAATAATCTAAAATTTCTCAATATTTTTCTTCACCTACTTCTCTAGAATTGAGGTTCGTGTCTTTTATTGGCGCGTGCACAACACGTACTAGATTTTCCTTATAATTTTGTTTCAGGCTACAAACTCAGAGATAAGTCCCAGATCCATATTCAAACTTGTGGCATCCAAACAACCTCTATTTTTTCTCCTAAAAAAATCCCAAATTTCCTTTTTCTTGTTAAACTTCGAAAATTCTGATAAAAATTATTATGAGGTATGTAAACAATAAACTTCAGGTTAATAATATCGTTGCATTTGCAGATGGCAGGCAATGATAACTCCCCTTCTAAGGTATTCTATTTTTATTCTCATGATTTTTAGTTTTTAGATGAATTCTTTTAACTTGAAAAAAATATGTATTTGACTTAATGGTGTCGTTGTTTAGTTATAAAGAAAAGGAAGAAAATCTCTTTGACTTCATTTTCTTTACTGCTTAATTTGAGTTCTTTGTATTTTTATTTTTGTATGACTGAATTCTATTACTAGTTTTTTTTTTGTGACTTCGTTAGAAATTATTGATATTTTACAATATAGAAGTTTAAATGGAACTGTTATTGGATGTTGGAAATAATTTTATATTTTGTGGAGTTGAAGAACAGAGTTAAATGTTCAAATGAATTATGAAAGGGAATAACAGTTCTTTGTATTTTTATTTTTGTATGACTGAATTCTATTACTAGTTTTTTTTTTGTGACTTCGTTAGAAATTATTGATATTTTACAATATAGAAGTTTAAATGGAACTGTTATTGGATGTTGGAAATAATTTTATATTTTGTGGAGTTGAAGAACAGAGTTAAATGTTCAAATGAATTATGAAAGGGAATAACGGGAAATTTGAAGATACGAGGAACAGAATTATGATGGGCCTTTTTACTTTCTTGAAAAAAATTGCGAAATGATTGATCAAAGCAGATTCATTATAATATTGTTTTTTCATCTTATTTCTTTTACGAATTGTCTATTTATATTTTGTCTTAGATTCAGTCGAAGTTAGCAATTTGTTTTGTTGTTTGATTATCACGAATGAGATTCGCCTTCGTAGCAACTATTGGTATTGTATGGATTTGGAACACCGAATTCTTTGGTCCGTCTATTGTGTAAAATGTTTAAGTTTGTGAAAGTTGTTTTAGCAATGCATTTTTAGAATACTTTTGTGAGGGGAACTACTGACTAGTTCTAGGAATTTTGGATATGAAAAGATTTCAAAACATGACACAACATGAGAAAACAATGCTAAAACCACACAAATGCATAAACAAGTTGACATATTTAACACAAATCATTAACGTGACAAATTTTATATGAATATATAACACCTTAAGAACGATTATGGTTGGGAAAATAATACGAACATGACATGAATACATGGATTGCCTGGTGCGTCGTGGTTTTATTAGTTCATTTGTACATATATTTGCATGATAGCACTTTCCAGAATAAACAAATTAAGCTTATGTTTACACTCTTTGTTTCTGATATTTTTTTATACGTCTATGTGCTAACGACATGCACAAACAATTGTTATAACCTTCTCCATTTATACTGAGAATCGCTGTGTTAAATGACCTGCAGTTACCTTCATCCATCCATCCCTTCCTCCGCTTCCCCTTTGGTTTTGGAAATGGGAGAAGCTATTAATGTGTTAGTTCATTTAATTTTGTGTTAATGCTGTATTTTTTGGGTAATTTCTTTAATAGTAACGAGCACCATTTTCTATCCCCTTGTATAGTTAATTCAAACAAGAGCTTGTTATGCGACATCTATGACACTCTAACAAGCATGTTTACTTTATACTCATTATCTCTTTGTCCCCAGATGTAGTGATTATTTGTTTTATTTTAAGCTATAGTTATGCCAGAGTGTAATTGATACATAGTTCTAATTTCTATTCAAGGATTACTACAAAATTTTGGAAGTTGATTATGGTGCAACTGATGATAATATCAGGTTAAATTACCGGAAGCTTGCACTGGTCAGTGGTCCCCCCTATTTTTACTCCGTCTTCTTCTTGTTTTCCTCTTGCCATTGCTTCATGGATAGCCTTTCACAATTTTGTTGCATTTAAAACTTCCTTTATTTTAAGACAACTGAGTTGGCAAGACAATTTTTTGTTATGTTGTTACAGAAGTGGCATCCAGATAAGCACAAGGGCGATAGTGCTGTTACCTCTAAGTTCCAAGAGATAAACGAAGCTTACAATGGTAGTTCTTCTGTTTGGCTGGAATAAAAACTGACATTATCTTTACCTTATATTCCCTTGATATTTGACTGCAATTTGATCATCACCCAATCATGCTTTCTCAGCCAACTATATAGAGAATGTAATGCTGGTATATTGTGATATTTTCTTATCGTTATATCCTTTTTCAGTGTTAATCGATCCCGAGAAACGCTTTGAGTATGATTTAACTGGAATATATGAGATTGATAAGTATACCTTAGGGGTAAGAATTTACATGAACCTATCCGTATATACTAGAAGCATTGACATAATTTTCTTTAGGTTAATTAATTGATGCCACCTTATAATGCTCTGGGAAACTGTAATTGTGATGCAGGAATATCTTGCCAGATTTAAAGGAATGATTCTTACCTGCAATGGGCTTGGCATTAGTCATACATCAACATGGTAATTCTTTTGGCTGTCTTAATCTTGGTGATAATTCTCACATCTTCGTTTTACTAAAGCTTCCCCTAAACTTAGTCATACATCAACAAGGTATTAGTTATACCTCACAGAAAAGGATCATTCTCATATCTTCTTTTTACTAGAACTCCCCAAAGTTAGTGATGGTTTGTTTTTCTCTTTGTTTGGGAGTTGGGGGTAGGGGGATTATATTCTGTAGAATGGCTGTTTTATGTAAAACCTCACAGAAAAAAAATCATTCTCGTATCTTCTTTTTACTATAACTCCCCCTAAACTTAGAGATAATTTGTTTTTCTCTTTGTTTGGGGGTTGGGGGGAATGTATTCTGTAGAATGGCTGTTTTATGTGGAACCTCGCAGAAAAGGACCGTTCTCATGTCTTCTTTTTACTAGAACTCCCCCTAAACTTAGTGATGAATCCTTTTATGCCTGGTTCAAAATTTGAGGGCAATGCCTTTGAGACTTTGGAATGGTTCCAACACTTTCCTACCAATGCTTGTAAATATTATAAACCCCTAATCTAAGTGTATGATTGAAAATAATAGTGGCTGGTGACATTAATATGGTTGAGACTTAGGAATGGTTCCAACACTTTCCTACCAATGCTTATAAATATTATAAACCCCTATTCTATGTGTATGATTGAAAATAATAGCGGCGGGTGACATTAATATGGATGTCATGTGGAAAACCACAAGTGCCTAAAGCTTAAATTTGAAGACTTGTATATCTTATGTCTGAAATATGCTCTACATATTGAACTAACTCTAAAGTCAAGAACATTTTATTTCCACATTACCATACAGTTTGTGATCAGTGGAAGTGCTTGAAGTTAAAATTGTTTCAATGCTTGTTCTTGCTGATCCTCCCACTTTCCAAATGCTCAAACATACCATAATTTTCCCAATGTTTCTGCTCCTTTGGTTGATGCCTACTGATCCAGTGGTCTCCTCTTCATCTTTGCTATTTTGAATTCAGTGGCTGTAACCTTATCACTAGCATCTTTGGTCAATCAAGCAGTGGGTTTTATATTTTGCAAGTTAGTGGATGTTTAACATGCTTTTGGGACCCATATATTAGCATCTGTGTTGTTCTGCTAATTCATTTGAGGTTATTGTCAACGGCCGTCTCCTCTTCATCTTTGCTATTTTGAATTCAGTGGCTGTAACCTTATCACTAGCATCTTTGGTCAATCAAGCAGTGGGTTTTATATTTTGCAAGTTAGTTGGATGTTTAACATGCTTTTGGAGACCCATATATTAGCATCTGTTGTTGTTTCTGCCTAATCTCATTTGAGGTTATTGTCAACGGCCTTGGCCAGGTTGTCTATGTATAGGCCCTTGTTGGGATAGACGATAGGGAGTGTTAAGCGGTGTTGTCTATGTGTAGGCCCTTGTTGGATCGTTCCACTTATGAATTGGCTTTAGATCGGATGCTTAATAGATTTGTGCTATCACCCTTGGTCATGGTACTAATATACTTGCATGTTAATACAGGGCACAACAAACAGGAACAAATGAATTTGCTGAAGAAGGTTAGCTCTTATTTACAATTTACAAAGATTGTCATGCTTGTCTCTCAGAACTATTGGTGAATTTAAGATGCCAATACCCTATGAGTGTCGGGGCCACTGTCTGAGTATCGATTCCGGTCTTTTTATCTACTTGTCAAACCCGAAAATGTATGTGGTCTTCTTTGTACATTTAATCGAAACTAGGCTTCCTCAAAAGTAAAAGAGAATTGTCATGGTGATGTGTTGGAATGAGGCATGATTTTTGATAACATAACTGAATGTATATTTGAAATATATAATTTAAACGTGCCATTGTAATTATATAAAATATCATTTAGTAATTTATTAAGCATTGATAGCTTGCAAGCAAAGGAAACAATCTATGCCATATACTGCCGTTGATGATGAGAATTGTGTACTTTGAAAGCTATTATATATATTGGGTATTTTTCAACACCCAGAATTCCTAATTTTGTTTATTAGGCTATGTTTAGATATAAATAATACATAAATTCATTTTCTTATTTGTTAGTTAAAATAAAATAAATTTAACTTTTATTAAAGTTATAAAAAATAAATTCACTTTCAATCATCATTTTTATTCCTTTATTTTATTTGAATATTATATTTATAAAAATTAATGTATTTTCCACAATTAAACTGAAATAAAATCATTAAAATTAATTCTCTTTTCTTTCTACACTCCATAACTATTTTCTCTCCTCTATTACTTTAGTACTATAAATGTTTCTCAAGTGGGCTTTTATCGTTTAAAAATTCCTCTGAGAATCATGATGTTCTTTAAATATTAACTCTCCGAAAATAATATGAATTTAAAAAAGTTGTATACATGTTTTCCTCCTTTTTTCTTATTATAAAGGCTAAATTATTAAAATAATGGCTTGTAATATATTTATTAAATTTGTTAGAAATAGACTTAGTAATATTTAAAAATAAATTTTATAAATAAAATATTAATGCGTTAATTCAATTAAAAAAACAATAAAACCATAAAAACAATAATTTAATAACCAATTAAATTGATCGCAGTTAATAATTTAGAGTATGTATAAATTTTAAATCTATTAAAATAATATTAAATAATTAAAACATTAAAAATATTGTAATAACACTAAATGTATTGCTAATACTATTTTAAGTAAAAACTCTTTATCAAAAGAGCATCTTTGTCACATTGTAGGAATGTGTCTCCTCGTAGTAACGCCTTCATTAGGGGTGTATACGGTTCGGTTCGGTTCGGTTTTTTACCAAAAATTGAATCAAACCGAAATAAACGGTTTTTCAAAATTTAAACCGAAATCAAATGGTTAAAAAACTGAAAAAACCGAAACCGGTTTTTTCGGTTCGGTTCGGTTTTTTGGTTTAGGGTTTTTACTTAAAATAGTATTAGAAATACATTTAGTGTTATTACAATATTTTTAATGTTTTAATTATTTAATATTATTTTAATAGATTTAAAATTTATACATACGCTAAATTATTAGCTGCGATCAATTTAATTGGTTATTAAATTATTGGTTTTATGGTTTTATTATTTTTTAATTGAATTAACGTATTAATATTTTATTTATAAAATTTATTTAAATATTACTAAGTCTATTTCTAAAAAACAAATATTATTTCATATTAAAAATATGATTTAAACCTAAGAAAAGTGAAAAATACTAATGAATAACATTAAAATTACAATTGAAAATTTACGGCAACAAAAATTTACTCATATTCATAGATGATTTCTATGTCCACTGGCTCTACAATGTGATAGTTGTTTATTACAACTTAAATTTCGGGGTTTATCTTCGTCGTCATTATCATTTTCGTCACCAAAATACCTAGTTGATGCCGACATCACTATATACTGATGAGTTGCAAGGTGATGGATGATGAGCTGTAAAAAATAGTGAATACAGAGGTGTTTGAGGAACATTCCCATCGCTGAATGGAAATGACGAAAATGGGAGAGAATGACGACGATGAAGAAGATACCAATAACTGGTATGTTGGAGTAGTGTTAGTCAACATCGACGCATATTCAACATACGTCGGTTCCATTATCATTGGTATGTAAAACCCTAGCTGCATTGGACTAGAATCGCCCAAAACATTCGACATCGGTGGGGCTGATGGAAACGAATGCTTGGATCCAGATAGTGACGATGATGAAGAGCCAAAAGCGTTCCCTCATCCATGATGCCCCAGATACATTGGGGGTCGATGGTGTTGTGTTGATGGATGCTTTTTCTGTCGCTGATGAATCTGCTAAGCTCAGTCAGAAATAAGCAATAAAAATCCCTTGCCATACTTGAGAAACCATCTCATATAATCTTTTGAAACCGCTATATCAAGGTTTTGGATTGATTGTCGATCAGGTCTGAGGGTATGTCAAAAGTCCTACATCGTTATCCATTCTGCATGTTCTTGGGCCCAATCTTATCTTGTTTACCTCGTGTGTCACGTGCATGCATTCTGTCCAAGTCCATAGCTTTTTCGGGAACATTTTGCACGTATCCAAACTGTCGTAACATTCAATCAACTGAATGTCACTCAAAAATTGTGTAAAAGATAAGGGGCACGATGGCATGCCATACGCGCAATGTTGCTTGCAAATTGTTAGGATGCATGCCATACATTCTTCAAAACAGTATGGAATCCATTCAAACTAAAAAAATAAGGTTTTATTGTTAATCTTAAAATAACAAAATAATTTTTATTCAATACAATATTAGTATAAATTTCGTTCACACAGATTACTTGCTCTTTGATCAATGTGTAATCAAAGTTTTTCAAGTTCATTCAGAATATGTATGTGACTCAGATAAGTAAACCATCTGTTAAATTAAATGAAAGAGAAAATTATCTTAACACAAATGAATAATAATTAAAATAACAATTTTTTAGAATTAATATTTTGATATAAAAATATAACAAAATTGATTTTGGACTTATTGAATTTGTCAAAAAATTCTTAAAGATTAATTCAAAGTACAAATTAACTTGAAAATATATTTTAAATGTTTTCCATCTTAGCCGAACTTTTTGAAAAATGATTCCAATCATTTTCACGCTTTAAAGTCGTGTTTCCAAGGTTTTTTTTGTTCAAAGGATCGTTCCTCTAAGCAAAATGATCGATCCATTTGACTAAAGGATCGATCCCCTTGAAAAAGGATCAATCTCTTGGATTCTAGTAGCCATGGATCGATCCCTTGATGAAAGGATCGATCTCTTTCTTGCACTGGTGGAATTAGTCGAAAAATGATCGATCCCTTTCATCAAAGAATCATTCTCTTGTTTATTGAATGTTGTTTTTGATTGTAGGTAACAACTATAATGATCCACAATGGCTCCAAATGGCTAGAATTCATAGAGAATGTATAAAATCAATGTCAAAGCATCTCAAAGACAACAAGAATCAAATTGAATCAATATACCAACATCAAAGTATTCTTTTGTAATTAATTTGTCACATCTTTTCTTTGTAAACACTTGTTGGACTTATTGTCTATTTTGCTCAAGTGTATTTTTCAATACACAGAATTCCTTATTTTGTTTACTAGGCTATGTTTAGATATAAATAATAGATGAATTTATTTTCTTATTTGTTAGTTAAAATAAATAAATTTAACTTTCTATTAAAATTTGTAAAAAATAAATTCACTTTCGATCATCATTTTTATCACTTTATTTTTTAACAATATTATATTTATAAAAATTAATGTCTTTTCCACAATTTAACTGAAATAAAATCACTAAAACTAATTTTCTTTTCTTTCTACAATCCATAACTATTTTCTCTCCTCTTTTAATTTCCTTCAGTACTATAAATGACTCTGAAGTGGGCTTTTATCGTTTAAAAATTCCTCTGAAACTCATAGCCTTCTTTAAATATTAACTATGCGAAAATAATATGAATTTAAAAAAAGATTGTTACATGTTTTCCTCCTTTGTTTTTTTATTGTAAAGGCTAAATTATTAAAATAATACCTTTTAATATTTTTTTTATCAAAATGACACTTAAAATACTTTAATCTCGAAAACGGCACCTATTATTAGTGTCACATAGGAGGAAGGCGTTAATACGAGGGGGTGCATTCCTGCTGTGGCAAACACGCTCTTTCGATAAAGAGCCTTTACTTAAATAATATTAAAAATACATTAGGTATCATTATAATATTTTAATATTATTTTAATAAATTTAAAATTAACAAAAACACTAAATTATTTAAATTGTAATCATTTTTTTAATAAATCACTGGTATCCGATTTATTGACCGACTAATCTATATCGAGTACTGCAGAGGCGAGAGCGACCATCCCAACCCAATTTGCTCTATTCGAAAACACCAGGATTCGAATCCTTGACCTTACTTAAGGGGCCTAATGTCTCATTCCACTAGATCAATCATTTTTTAATATGGAAAAGCTAGAGTAGAAAAAAAACTACAGTGATGCTCTACATCTAGAGTTGCACTGTAGCTGCGCTACATATTTGTTGTTGTTGTTGTTATTTTTATGATTTTTGGTTTTTGTTTTTTACTTTCTTTTGTTATTTTCTTTTTCTTTTCTTTGTTACATTATTTTTTTTTATTCTATCTTTTATGTTTTTTATTGTAATTTTTACACAATAAAATAAAAATTAAACATAATATAATAAATTCAAGTAAATTGAATTACAAGATAGATAAAAATACATTGAAATTAGATAAATAAATATACTAATAGTTAAATATTGTGAATAAAGTAGAGTTGGTGGTAATATAAAGATAGTGCTGGAGATGAATTACTGTTTCATCTTTAGAGTAGAGATGAGGGCTGGAGATGACCTTATGTTTTTATCTTATTTGAATTGAATTAATATATTAATATTTTATTTTATTTTATTTTATTTTAAATTAAATAAAATAATATTTATGTATAAAATTTATTTCGATAAACTACATCATTCATTACTGAACTTTAATCTCTCTCCTATTTAACTCATTGTACTTTCAATTTTTTCAATTTACTCACTGAACTTTGATATTGCTGTTGTTTTAGTCATTCCGTCGTTAAATAATAAATGGCATTATGACATGTCACATGACATGACAATTACCAAATAACAACATCATTTATTGGTCCATTGGTCTATTTGCTCTACTGAATGCTACTACACTGCCTGCCATTTATCAGCATCAAGGCCCTATTATATTGATACGATAATGTATGCTTGCACTTTGCTCTACAATACACATTCTATATTTGCAACAACAATTCTAGAGTAATACATTAACTCTCTATGAGTTCGACATCCGAAGCTTAATAACTTCCACTTTTATTATATTGATACGATAATGTATGCTTGCACTTTGTTGTAGTATTAGTATCAGCATCAAGGCCCTATTCCT